CACATGGTAACATGGTAGCACCTACAGTTCTTCAAAAATAATTCATAACTGCTTCCTCCTATGTTGTTGTCAAAATGTCATGTTGTCTCATTTTTCAAAAGAAGTTAAATGACCTGGTAGCACATGGTAACATGGTAGCACCTACAGTTCTTCAAAAATAATTCATAACTGCCTTCCTCCTATGTTGTTGTCAAAATGTCATGTTGTCTCATTTTTCAAAAGAAGTTAAATGACCTGGTAGCACATGGTAACATGGTAGCACCTACAGTTCTTCAAAAATAATTCATAACTGCCTTCCTCCTATGTTGTTGTCAAAATGTCATGTTGTCTCATTTTTCAAAAGAAGTTAAATGACCTGGTAGCACATGGTAACATGGTAGCACCTACAGTTCTTCAAAAATAATTCATAACTGCCTTCCTCCTATGTTGTTGTCAAAATGTCATGTTGTCTCATTTTTCAAAAGAAGTTAAATGACCTGGTAGCACATGGTAACATGGTAGCACCTACAGTTCTTCAAAAATAATTCATAACTGCCTTCCTCCTATGTTGTTGTCAAAATGTCATGTTGTCTCATTTTTCAAAGAAGTTAAATGACCTGGTAGCACATGGTAACATGGTAGCACCTACAGTTCTTCAAAAATAATTCATAACTGCCTTCCTCCTATGTTGTTGTCAAAATGTCATGTTGTCTCATTTTTCAAAAGAAGTTAAATGACCTGGTAGCACATGGTAACATGGTAGCACCTACAGTTCTTCAAAAATAATTCATTTTTGCCTTCCTTCTATGTTGTTGTCAAAATGTCATGTTGTCTCAAACTTTAGAACGGTATAATTTAAATTTTTATTTTTATATAAATGAATACCCCACAAGCTCAAAATTTACCACGAATCATAACAAGGGAGGAAACGATAAAAATGATGCGAGAACTTGCTAAAAATAACAAACCACTAAAACTGAGAAAATGTGGTTATGCAGTAATGATGGAAAGAGAGATGTTGTCGAAGAGGAATAAAAATTAAATTTGGATAGAGTTTAAAAATTCATCTTTATTAAATTCATCTCTTCCAATCAATTTATTTATTCTATTAAATTCTTTTATTTTTGCTTCACTCAGTTTAAGGATTGAACGGTAAGTTTCTAATTTTTCGATTATTTCTTCATCATTTTCAACCCCACCACATTGCGGCTTCTTTTTGTAATAACATATTTTTGATTTAATTCTGTTTAGTTTCTTTTTATATTCATCGTCTGGACTCTTGACTGCTTTGTTGTACTCATTTCTTACGAAATAAAAAAATTAAATATTATTTAAATATAATGGAGTAATAAAATAAATCGGAATTTCTATTAATTTATTGTTAACCTCAACTAATGCATTGCCGTTAATATATCTAACAAATTCAGCTATTGTGTCAAATCTTCGTCTTCTTTTTGTCATTGATTTATCAGTTTTTCCATAATCGAGATGAATCAAAACTTTATCCCCTTGTTTAAAATTCATGAGCCCCGAATTAATTTGTTCACGTTTAACATCATTTAACCTTTCCATTTGCTTTCTAATATATTCCCATTCTTTTGAAATATCATTTTTCATTTCCACTGGTTTCATGTTAATAGTTCTATGCCATGTATTATTGTAATAATATACTAACTGCTGTATGATGGAGTCATGATTTCCATCCCAGTATATCTGACCGTTAACCCCTAACGCATCTCTAAGAGTTCTCATTACCGCATCAACTATTTTATTATGAAACGTATATGGAGAGGATGAGAAGTAAAAATTAATTTGTGGGAAATAATGAGTCATGGCTGCCTGAAATCCTTTATCACCATCACCCCTGATATTATCTACTCTTTCATGATCTAGTAAGTATTGTATAGCTCTTCTTGTTTCCTGTTCTGTTTTCCCTTTCACCGGAATGCAATATAAATATCTAGTGTTAATGTTAATGGCAAATAAATAAGTAATATTTCCTTTTGAATATTCCAGATGATCGATTTCATATGAATAAGGTGAAGGTGCAAATGATGGACGACTAAATTTTTCTTTTAATGGTTGAATTTTCGGGTCAATTGGTTTATTTAATATCTTGAAACCCTTTTTAAAATCTTTTGTTTCTTTAATGTTTGAAATGGATATAATAAAGTGAATGATGAAGGATTAACTGAAGGAGGGAGAGGTACTGTCGTTGGGGTTTTGGTGTTGCAAGTGGTTTAATTTTATCTGCTTTGATTTTGGATTTCATTCCCCCCTTCATTAATTCTGGATGTATTCTATTCATTTGTTTTAAATATGCTGTATATAAAGGTTTGATATACTTTCCCGCTTCGAGTTTATGTTGAAGGATGAATTCCAAAAGTTGATCTTCATTTAAAAGTCGGGTTGAATATGTTTTAACTAATGAATCATAAATTAAAGCTTGTGCTTCATTTATGAGCTGCTGAACGTCCAAACTTTTCTCTTTTGGCTTTTGCGGTTCAGGATTATATAAATTATATAATTCATCAATATCTTTTTCAGTTAATACTTTATTTTTGAAATCTTTCAACTGTTTAAGTTGTGATTTACTTTTTCCCTTTGAATATTTTCCTTCTTTAATGTTCTCTCTTAAACGTTTAATTATTTTATCATGATATTTCAAAATTTCATTTTTATAATACGATAGTATTCACCCATATCATCCCCGTTATATTTTTCATCATGTTTTTGAAGATATGATTTTAATTCATAATAACTAAGAAAATTTTGATTAAATACTAAATCATCAATTAAATTTTTTAAATCTGCGCTATTCATTTATATAAAAATAAAATAAATGTTTAAGGGTGCCCCTCTTTGTCTCTTCTGTGGCATTTCATTAAATAAATGGCATACAACATCCATTTTCACAACATACAGCTTTAGTGTGTGCCCTGTTAATGCAGTCTTACCAATTGTTAAGCGAGTCATTGACCCATTTTTAAGTTGTAAATTAATATTTTGACCATCAAATATCACTTTGTCATTTATTATATCCAAATAATTTTTAGGTGTTAATTGTTTATTTTGTTGTAAACTTACACCTTTCATTTTTTGTGCTATCTTTTTGAAGGAGTCTTCACCAATCATTCCGTTGAATGATGTATAACACTTAGGGCATAAAGCAACCATGTTATCACCTTGTTTCTCAATTGCTAAACCCAATAACTTCTTCTCATGTGCTTTTTCTTCAGCTTTATTCTTTAATTTAGGTTTAAATTTCTCATCAAAACAGAAGAAATCAAAGGTGCGAATTTGAAAATGTTTTTATCATAAAATTGTTTATCGGTTACAATTGCTTGAAATGCTTGAGTGTTAGGAAGATTTGGGTCGCCAGCGATTGCCCAATAAGATGAATCAGTATCACCTTCAATGAAATGAAAACGATTAACATCCATGCATTTATACATAAAATCATAAATGAAAACCAAATACCAGTATTTAGCATTATCTAAAGTGAAGAATGCCTCTTGTAAACATGTATCACATCTATAAAATCTATCTTTGAGCATCACTTGATATGTATCCTCACCTATTTCTCTTATGTTTTTAAACTTATTTGACATACATGCAACGCGTGCCTTCTGTGCATTCATTATTTTAGTCTTTGCGTAATTTTGTGTATTCATTGCATCGTAACCATATGATCCATTAAGTGAAATTTGCAAAATAAACTTTTTCCTTTATTTCCTTCTAATTCAGCCTTTTGTCTTTCGTTCATAAATTTGTTCGCAAATTCATTAAAACAAGTATTTTTCGTAAATGTTAAAATTGATTGAATCATCAATGATAAAATGAAATCTGTCTATTAGATACCAAAGATAATAAGAAGAAAATGGTTGATATTGGTTGTGTGTTGATGCTAACTGAGTTAATTTTCTCTGTTTCTGGTCAACCGGTAGATTGTTTGATTTCATGTAATTATACATAAAACTGCCAATTGTTTTTTCATCTGTGATAATATCTAAGTTTCTTATTATCGGTAAAAAGTTTATGTAATCATTAATGTATTTTTCATCAATGTGACCCTTTACTTCAGCCACGAATAAAGTATTTTTCTTTCTAATAATTCCTAAAGCTTTTGCTTTCTTTGTTGCTGTATCACAAATTAAAACATCTTCTAATCTCCCCGGCATATACATTCTATGATCGGTGTATTGAATGAAATCATGAGGATTTGATGAAAATGATGAAGGATATAATGAATTGAAATCAACACCAACGAAATGAGTCATGATGTTGGAAGTGTCCTCATTTGATACAGTTTTAGTTTCTGGACTATATGAAAGTTTATTAATGTGTGTGATACCTTTAAGATTAACACGATGTTGAACATTTGAGAGACCACCAGTAATTCCATTACGGAGGATGTGATACGCTTCCACTGAATCTAAAGTCATTGGTAAATTATTTTTCAATGCGTAATTTCTTAAATTAATTCTTAAACGTTGAACTTCTTCATCTTTATTTGATTTTACGACATTGCAATAACAACACATTAACTGACAATTTTCTTTGGTATGTGGTTTTTCATTATCGATTCTATCCAATGTTGGTTTATTTGCATATGTAAACGCTTTACCACACATTTTGCATTTAGATGAAAGGATTAAATCGTGATATATTGATAGTCATCCATTGAAACATTGTTTTTGGTATCTCTTTTCGCTTTTCATCTTGTTTCTTATATGATTCAATTTTATATTTCCAATACTTTTTTGTTAATTCAAAACTTGATTCCACATTTTCTTCTTCTGGATATGTTTCGTTAGGATTGAAGTTCTTATATGCTAACGCGTAACGAATCATTGATGCATTCGATGATAAAGAAAGATTATGAAGCATATCAATTTTATAAACAAATGTTTCTTCAATAATTTTATCAATTGGGTCAATCATAATTTCAACATCTTTATTGCAATAATGAATAAAATATTCTAATCTATTCTCAAAATTTTTAGCATCATTGAGATATATTTGATAATCTGAATCGGATATTGTTTCTTGTGTTAATGCTGAATAAAATGAATCTTGAGTGAATGGTTCCTTTTTATATAATTCATCTTCGTAATTCTCCCATGTGATGAATTGATAAGGGAAAAAGGATTTAACACGTGATTTATTGTTTCCGAAATCTTGAGTGAATTGGTCTAATGTTCCACCCGCTATATAATTTCTGATGTCAATAAATCTCAATTCATATGGAACGTTTGTTTTCTTTACAATGATTTGCTTAAATTGAGAAGAAGAACCCAGCATTGATTTTATCTTCCATTTTGCAGTATTTAAATCACGAAGAATTAAATTTAAATCAAACTTTCCTGAATTAAAACCAATGATATTCACTTTATTAAATTCTTCATCTAAAAGCTCTTTAAATGCTTCCTTCTGTTTCTCATTTAATGTATGGGACTTCATTAATTCTTCATATTGTTCAATATTTGATTTAGCAACTAATGAACAGGTTGAAAATAAAAACTCAATCCAATCAGAAATAAAAGAATCACTTGATGTTAAGCAAAAATTCCTCGTATATGTTTTATCGTTTAATTTAACCGTTGATGATACCATGAATGGTTTTAAGTAAGCGTTCAAAGTTGCACACTCAGAAAGTTGTAATTCTTCTTTAGTCTCTAATGTTTCGAAGTCAAAAGTAATATAATATCTTGTTGGTTTATAATATTCCTGCAAATTATGTGCTAATAGCCATTGATATATCTTCTGTTTCGTGATATGTGGTGCATATGGTTGTTGTGTGTTTTGCAATTGAACGTCTTGAATTAATCTTCCATTATTTTCTTTACATTTCTCACAATGTTTTAAAAATCTTCTTTGGTTTTTCCTTTCTGGATCATCACGGATAGAATATACTTCTTCTTTGCAAAAGGGGCAAACTTTATATCCTGTGAGTGCTTCAACGTCTGTTATTCTGTCAGCGTGAAGTTTTCCACATGGACTCTGTGTTAATAAAATATTTACTGTTTCAAATTCTGGATCTATCATTATTGAATCCACTAATGGAAAGTCTACCTTGTTAATGTCTACGTCTTCTGGTTGAGGGTCACAATAATAAAAATCAATATTAACGTTTAACATTCTTGCTAACCTCTCACTTTCTGATGAAATGTCAAATCCTTCATATGCATCTATGGCTTCATTTAAATAACTTCTACGAGTTTTAGGATTAACACCATCAGGAATGTTATAGAAGCGTTTAAATAACCTTCTACCTTCGGCTCTTATTTGATTATCATTCATTTTAGCTGTTCCATTTTTGTTCATTTATGTAAGAATAAAAAATAAAGTTTATTCTTTAAAGTCCATAAAATGAATTAAGAACACACAAATTTTTATCATCTGCAACGTGACGAATACATTTTAATTTACTCAAGAATGCGTAACCTGATACATTAAATCTAATTCCTGTCTTATTTAATTTCACAACTTTGAAAAGGAATGTGTGAATAGCTATGAAATGATGACGAGATGATTTATGTGTTGCTTCCATTTTTTCTGAAATGAATGAATAAATATAATGTTTATAGGTTTTCATATCTTTTATGTTCTTAATAACGAATGGAATAGATCTTTCCACTTCGTCCTCCTTCGGAGCTGTTCTTTCATATGAAACATCAACGGTATCTTCAACAATGAAACCACAATCGCATAAAATTTTATATGTACCAATTGTTTCTTTTGATATTTTATCTAACAAATCAAAAACTTTATCAACACCTGTACATTTATTTAAATAATAATTTGTGTAAATATCATGGTCTTCTTTCTTAATCGTATTTGTTGCATATGTTACATTTTTCAGTGCTTTTTTGAATTTTTCAGAATCAAGAGGAGGTGAAAGTAATATACATGGATAATCTCCATCGTCAATAAACTGAAGCTTATGTTTATGAATAAATTTTGTGCCTTCTTCTGAAAGTGTTTCGTCAATATCACCATCTAATAAATTTTTAGTTGATTCCAAAAAGTAATTTTTATATCTTTCCTCATGTGATTTTTGAACTTCTGATTCTGAAGCTGGGATATTCATTAAACCCTCTACTTCATTCTCATTATATTTTTCAACTTCTCTTAATTCCTTAATTTTTTCATCTATTTCATCTCTTATTTTTTTCAGTCTTTCAATTTCAATTTCATCATATTCATCATCATCTTTAATTCGTTCTTCATAATATTCAGGGAAAACATCAGGTTCTTTTGGTTTTTCTTTTTCTTTAGATGTAGGATATAAGAAATTTATAACATCATCTTTATTCATTTTTCCATCATAATCAAATTCATTTAAAAACTCCGCGAATTTTTGACAATTTCTTAAATAATATTTATCAACCTCATAACCCGCCTCCTCTAATATATCCTTTATTTCCTCATTTGTGAATCCTGAATATCTAACGTCGTTAGTTTTGACACTCATTTTCTTACGAATTAAAAAATAAATTATTCATAAATGTAAGACATGAATTTTCTCCCCTGTTGTCAAAATGTCATGTTGTCACCATTTTCAAAAGAAGTTAATTAACCCGGTTACCCCCTCAGTTATTCAAAAACGTAAGACATGAATTTTATTATCCACTTTATCAGGTTTTACTTGTTGGGTCATTTATGTAAGAATAAAAAAATAAATTATTTTAAAATTAATGTTAAAATAAATGATACAAAATCATTCAATTATGTATGAATTCTTACGTTTACAAAAAAAGTCACACAACCCATCATACTCTACTACTAATATTGCTTATCAAAATTATATCTCTATTCTCTCATTTCTGTTTAGTCAATATCATTACACTCCTATTGTCTAATAACATGCTATTAATTTTCTTAAAATTAAAAAAAAATATCAACTTTTAAAAACAGAAACTTAACATCCTTAGGTCAATGGATTTTGATGTGAGATACATTTAATCTGTTTTTCTTTTTTTATTTTAAATAATTGAATATTTATAGTTGTTATGGGTCTTACATCATGTAAAACGAATTTTCTTAAAGTAAATTTACTTTTTCTTCAATCTTTCTTACATATTTATTAAAAAAAAATTATCCAAAAAAAGATGTTTTAGAATGAAAAAAAATAGAAAAATCTTCATTTATAGTCTTTCTTGAATGTATACGTTTTGATTTTTTTCTTTTTTAAAAAATTCAATTTCTAGAAAAATCGAGAAAAAATCATTTTCTTCTATTTTTTAGGACGCCATACCCATTGAAATCTCCTCTCAGGACGCCATAAACTATTCAATTATGGTGTAAACTTCTCAAAAATTGAATAGTTTACATCAGGACGCCTTAGGACGCCAACCCTTTACGCGCCCGGCCGAAACTACAAAAAAATTATAACTTCTAATTCTTACATCTCATTGGCTTATATTAAATTTTTATCACTTACATTTCTCTTTTTCATTCATCTGGTCATATTTTTAATATGTCATCGGTTCAAAAATCTTTTTAATCCTCATAAAATTCATTTATTATCCTATCACATGCTACTCACATAATGAGAACATCATATTACTCATGTTATAATAATTCTTTTTTTGATAATACATCTATCTCTTCTCTAGTTTATATATCACATTACAATAGGATCAATGGCAGCATTATACAGTTCATTTTTTCTCATATATGTATAATGAAAATCTATTTGTTCTTCATTAACATTATCAAAGAATTTGATTCATCTCATAGGTCATATTTTCTTCATAATGATTAATGAAGTAAATTTCAATATGCATATGAGAATATTCGTTCAAAATATCTAATTTATGTTTTAAAAAGCGTAAAAAATACATATATATTAGGAAAGATAGTACTTTATATGTAAAAGAACAAATAATTATAAAGTCTTAAGGAGTTGTATTGTTATTCTCTGCCTTATCGCCATTTGAATTTTCAGAGTTAGAACTTGATTCATGAAGAGCATTCTGATTAGCATGCTTTTCTTCTAGTTGTTGTTTGATCTTTGCAAATTCTTCTCTTGAAATTCTTCCGCGCAATGAAGGAATAATTGCGAATAAATAAAAAACGCCAGGAACCAAACCCATAACAATTCTAACAGCCATCAAAGCTTTCTTCGTTTGTTCCACTTGTTGGCCGTTATTGCTTTCCTTATAACCAAAAGCACCAAGAACTGCGGAAACGATAGAAATCGTCACGCCGCTACAAACCTTATACATAAACAAAATTATACCATAGTATATACCCTCTCTTCTTTCACCAAACTTGTATTCGTCGATCTCAACTACATCAGGGAGAGCTGCGTAAGGGAGAATTTGAATTGCACTTAGACCTAATCCAGCAAAAATTGTCAATAATACAATCGACCAAACAGTTTTCTCTGGTAAGAATATAGCAAAGAATAATACAACAAACATGTATACGGCAGATATGATGAAGGTTGTTGATTTAGACAACTTTTCAGATAGCCATACCCAAAATGCAGCAGAAACAATAGCACTAATCAACGGAATAGCGACAAAAATCATTGCCATTGTACCACCACCGAATTTTAATGCATCATTAACGTAGAACATAAAGACCAACATAATAATATCGAATCCAACCATCGAAAGAATATACCAGCAAGTAGAATTGACGAATTCCTTGATAGTAAACAATTCTTTGAGTGTTTGAAATACAGATTTCGTTGACTTATTGTTCTCAGCGCATCTTTCTTTGACAAAAAGTCCTGATAAAAACATAAAAATCGAACTTGCAAGGCCAAAGATCAGTCCACTGATACCATACGCTTTAGGAACGGAATGTAGACGAGGATACAATGCACTTTCTTCACCATCGGCTAAGATTGCGAACAATGCAGCACCTAAAATAATTCCGATATTCGCCATCGTAATTCTGTAACCATTTAATGATGTTCTTTCATCGTAATTCTTTGTCATATTAGCTGGCAATGTGTTGTATGGTGTATAAACAATCGCCCAACATGTTGTATAGATCATATAAATAAAAATGTAATAAACTACTTTAGTTGTTTGACTTTTTTCTATTCCTGGTGATAGCCATAAGAAGATAAAGCTTACTCCAAATGTTAATGCACCAAAGATGATAAATACACGACGTTTTCCAAATCTTGAATTACATCTATCACTAATTCCACCCATTACGTATGAAGTAATTGCATCCCATACACGACCGACAATGTTAATAGCTGAAGCATTATATGCAGTGACACCTGCGACGTTAATTAAAAAGTAAATGAAATAAAACGAAATTGCAGCCATCATAATATTGGCTGCGAAATCACCAAGACCAAAACAAAACTTCTCGCTGAATTTGAGTTTGTCTTCCCGTGGCGCTATTTCTGTATCAAGATTATCCGACATTGCAAAAATTGAAGAAGTTTAGATTAAAACTTTTAACAAAATTTTCTGATGGTTAAGATTACATATCGTAATTATCAAACTGGCATAAATATTGTGTATTTGATTTAGCCGACTAAAATATTGAAAATTCGAATCTAATCGTATTCTTCTGTTTTTGACCATAATGTTCTGAATATTTTTTCTGAGGTTTATTTCATACTCATATATTTATTGATTCTTTACATATGGACAAAATAACACTCCTAATAATCGCGATCAACTAACACTTTTTGAATCACAATTTTTTTGGGAAAAATTACCCTTTTTTTGGTTCATATTCAACATGCTTAATTTCAGATTGTGTTTCTCATCTAAGAAATATGAACCAAGGTGAAATATCAGTTCGATTCGTCAAGATATTTCATATTCTTGGTAATCAAATTTCTTTCTCAAGCAATAAGAAAAACTAATAAACAATATTATGATCTAACAGTTTCCAAACAGAGAATTAAGCTTTATTGCTTATTTTCATCTAATTCAATATTTTCAAAAAAATCAACTATAGAAAATAACATAGATATTTACCTCATAAAAATAACTAATTACATTAAAGTTCATAGCCTTCAAGCTGCCAGTCAATATTGAATATATCCGAAGAAAAGAATTTTTCTGTCCATGCCGCTGTGGTGTCTTCATACATATTAGCTAGGAACTGAACATTGGACTGATCCAAACAAGTTTTATTTTCCCTTTCTTTTTTAATTTTTTCAATTTTCGGTTTGAGCTTTTTTAACGATGGAGCTCTTCCCTTTGAAACATGAAAAGAATACCTATTTTTAACATTCACGTCAGAACGAGTAGGGAAAAATTTCGTTATTTTTGACCAACACGGGCCCATTTCTTTAACAAGCTTGAGCAAATATTGATCTTCTTGTGATGACCACGGCCCATTTTTTAATTCAGGACTTAGGTAATTCAAGTATCTTTCTCTACATTGCCTTGTTGATCGGGTTTTCATTAATTGCGCAATTTTTTTCCAAGAACCTGTTCCGAACTCTTTAACAAGAAGTGTTAGTCTCTCATCTTCTTCTGCTGTGAACTTTTGTCTATGCGTTTTTTCGTTTTCCATATTCACACTGTACGAAACTGATCTTTGAATTTTAAATTTCATGATATTGAATTCACTTTTAAATATTCTTCACTCAATTTTACAACAGTCTGAATTTTAATTAAATTTTACATTGGAATTATGCATTGATGCTAAAATCCTAACTGTAATTCTTCTCAATTTGTTATAATTTGAAATGATTTGAAAATTTGATTCGTATTCAATTTCGTTTGAATTAAGGTGTGAACTATTTTACATGAAAATAACTGTTGACAACCAGTTTATTCATATTAAAACAATAATTATAATTTATCAAACCAAATGATAAAATTAGGCTTAATTTTATCTATCTACAGAGTAACAAAAAAAGGTAGTGGGGCTTCCAGGCGCGTTGCGCCCTCTAGCCCCGAAGATGTTTAGTATAAATGAAGTTTTTATTCGGAGGGCTTCCAGGCGCGTTGCGCCCTCTAGCCCATAAAAAATTTCTGAGGACGAGCCAGCCGTTGACTTTTTTGTAGAGCACTCAAAATAGTATAACTTTGTCCGGACAAGTAAAGGTCTATCGTCGCTACAGGAAAAGTTACAGGCGTTCCAAGGAAGTATACTTTGAGAAGCCTTTTTCCCCTTATAGAATGAGATAGGACGGTTATTTTACAAAACTGACAACACTTTGACCGAGTAGTTTTTTGTGCTGAACAAAAAGTGTCATATAAACATCTGTCAAAAACCGCTTTTTAACTTCACTTAAAATGCCACGTAAGCTACGTAAGAATATACGTAAGAGGAAGGGAGCATTGAAACATCCAATAGTAAAACTGACACCACAACAACAGTTGCAACAACAAATGATGAATGACCCCACTATGTTGCAACAAATGTCAAGCAACCCTATGCTTTTAAACCGAGTTATTGGTGCACAGAGTGGAGGTTTAAGAGCGGCACTTTTAGCGAAAATGGCAGGCTATGGTGGAGCTGCAGACGGAACAGCTTATAACCCTCAAAGTCAAATGAATTTGAGTTCACTCAAAAATCAAATAACAGATGTCAAAAAGTCAAACATAGACATACAGAAACAAATAAGTGAAAACGAAAAGAAACTAGAATATGACGAAAATAACAGATGCAGCAACGAGACAGGCAGTTCAAAGTGCCTATAACGCCGTTAGAGCAACTGTTGTGGAAAGTCAAGAAAAAGAGTTACAACAGACCAAAACAGACCTAGTAAATGCTTTCTTAAGAACGAAAAGTCAGGTAGGACATTATGCTGCAGATGGAACATATGTGCCAGCTGGTGGAACTTATATACCACCAAACCCTCCAAGAGAAGCACCTGCACCAGGACTACCTAAAACATTTACATCGTCACATGGACACAGACACAGGCATGCACCAAAACCAACACAACAACCAACAGTTCAAAATCCAGCACCACAACAACAACCAAAACCAACAGTTCAAAATCCAGCACAGCAACCAACAGTTCAAAACCCTGCACAGCAACAACAACCAACACAACAACCACAAACAGAGCAAAAGCCTGCACAGCAACCAACAGTTCAAAATCCTGCACAGCAACCACAAACAGAGCAAGGACATAAAAGAAGTAGAGAAAAAGGAAACCAAGAATTCTTAAAAATGCTTAAGGAAGATTATGGTTACCCAGATACTCTTGACTTTAGTGACAGATATAAAGAAGCTATTAGAAAGTTCAAGGAAGGAAATACTGACCCGAACCTATTTAGCTTTATGGTTCAGCATAAAATCGGATATAATCTCAAACCTGGAAAATACAAGCTCGCTAAGGGATATGATTTAATAGCATATCATCCAAATGACATGAATGAATTTACTCCGAGATATTTGATGTCAGAGCTAAATGATAATTCAACTCTCTTCATGAAACGCGTAAAAAATAGAGACGGAACGAAAGAAGAAAGGTTTATGAGTCCGGATGACTTAGATAGGGAACTTGTTAAAAACGGTCTCGGAATATATGAAATGCCACCAGATGAGGTACAAGAAACTCCACAGGAAGAAGTTCAGATACAACCAGACATGGAAGAAATAGTTCAGCAACAACAGCTAGAAGAGCCTGAAGGAAACGAACAAGTCCCTCCTTTGGAAACTAACTTCACAGAACTAGATGAAGATTTGGAACAGCCGAAAAATCTTGACCCTCAACAAGAGTATGAGGTGAATATGGAATCTTTCCAAGAGTCTAAGAAAAATTCGGCTGACATAGTAGAAGAATATCGAAAAATGTTCACCGACATACAAAAGACTCCAACATCAGATGAAAATATTCAGCATAGAATGGAAGTACTGAAAGAAAATGTACGCAAATACAATAATCCTTTTTACTTACGACCATATAACGTTCAATCTTTGGCTGAACTCGGTGAAAATAAAAGGTTAAATTTCAACAAAACATATAGAAATGAAACATTGTTTAAAGTTCATTCAGAACCTAGCCAATATGGAAACAAACCTACTTTTGTTTCTGCAGACTATGGAACTACAATGAAATGGGTCATAAAAGCTAATCCGGATAGGTGGTTCATAAACTTACAACCTCAATTCAAGAAGTTGTAGACGCAATGGAAGTGAATGGTGAACCAGATATAACGGGTATTTCAGCGCGGCTTTAATGCCATTGAAAGATATGAAAGATGCAGATATTTTGGACCAGTATGAAATGAACATGGCTGAGGGAAATATAACACCTGACGTTCTAGAACATTTATCTCAAAGAACTACACGGAACCATAGAGATGGTATATTTGGTGAAGAGTTTAGAAGAGAGTTAGGGAGAGAGAAGGAAGAGAACCTATTGTACATGACCTTGCAAACGAAAGTTTGCAAAATGTCATAAAAACTTACTTTGCAGACAATGAAATGAGAAGGGATGAATATTTAAGAAAACTCAAATGGACAGTACCAAATGAATGTTAGTATTGAAAAACATGTTCCATGACAAAATAAAACCAACTACAGAAATAAATGACGCAAGACTGAAACGTTGGGTAAAAGCTTTCCCATTCACAAAAGATATTATTGGTTACATGGAAAGAAAACCAGAATGGCTACAAAAACATATATTTGGAAACGAGCTTATTCCATATGGACAAGCTCTGTTTGAAGAGCTTGAACCGGAAACTCAGGAAAGAGTCATGCAAGCAATAAGCGAAGACTCAAATACAAACTATGAAAATCTTTCTAGGATATAGGTTACCTGAGATGGGCGACCAGAGCCCAAAGGCAAAAAGGACATGGGAAATTTACAACATACTAGGTGAACATGAGGCAAAGATGCAACAACTTGAAGCAGAGGGCAAGTTACCAAAAGCGACACCAAAGAAGAAGAGAAGAGTAGAACAAAGTGAAAGTAGTGAAGAAGTAACTTCATCTAGTGAAAGTAGTGGCAATGAAGGAAAAAGAAGAGTTAAAGATTCAGTTAAAAACTCAGTCAGGAAGAAAGTAAAGCTTGGTCCGAGTGGGTTCTATTATGACATATAAATCCAACTATTCTATATTTTTACCCATATGAAATGTACGCCGCTCAGAATATAACGCCAACAGTTTTGGATGCCATGAACGGAAATGTTTCCGAATGGTATAACGAATGCGACAATGCCATTAGAAGGTCAGAAATAGTTCCTGGAACTTACGAATATACAAATGCTGTTTCTTATGGAAACATAGGTGAGTTTGGAGAAGGTTCTTCAACAACAGTAGATATTGCTTGCGACAGGTTTCACATTATTTCTATTGACAACTCATTCTTATACGTGGAACAAGACATTGAAATAAAACCTTCTGCCAAGTTGTCTGACAAGAAAGGTTGCAATGGAATTTTCTATGTCGGATACCAATATGCTCCAGAAGTTTTCATGGGATATAAGATATATTCTAACTCTGACTTAGTTCAAACAGTAACATGGGCAAACTATGAATGGTTCGCTTTGAGAAACTCAGTACAACCACAAGCTAGAGAACAAACAGACCAGTATGCAACTATTGAAAAAATAAGAAGACTTGACCCTAACGTTCCAGGAGTTTATGTTAACCTTTCTGGACAAACTGCAGCAGCAGTAACCAAAGTAAAACTGAAACTTAGAGTTCCTTTGTCATCTTTCCTCATCTTCAGGTTTTTAAGATACTTGCCAAACTGGGCAGGAAAAATTTCTATCGAACTTACTCCAAGCAAAAAAACTTAGTCATTGCACCAACACAAGACCCATTCACTATTACAGACGTAAAGGGAACAAATCAAACGTCATTCGCCGAATTTTGCAAAGACAAAGTTGACTTAGACTTTGGTTTCTCAAACTTCAACAATGAAGTAAACTATTATTTCAATGCTGCTGGAACTGCTTGGGACCCAGTTAAGTTCACATGCGAAAAATTTGAATGCAAGAGAATAGAAAGCAGACTTGCCGTTTATATGTTGGACCCAGATATTTCAAATGCTTTAGCTGCCAAATATATTGCAGTTCCACTTATGTTCCCTATACACCAAATATCTGTCAAAGACTTTGCAGGTGAAGTTGGAAACCAAAATCCAGGAGCCGCAGGTGCAAGAACAGATATTGCTTTTAACAACTGCAATGAAACATGCAGATACTATGTTGTACTGTTCAGACGAACTATAAATGACTATTCTTGTTTCTACAACCCTGGTATTAAATATCATATAAACATAGATGGCAAATATTATCCAAGAGAAGAATATTCTACAGTTGAGGATATGAGGTCATACAACTTGACATTAGATGCTATGAACTTTAACACACAACTTCACAACAACTATTAACCCTGAAATGCAAAATTCTATTATGCCATATGTGAAAGTATGGACTCATTACAGGAGGTCAAAAAACTCAATATACAAATGGAGACCGTTCAAACTTTTGGCTTGGCATTCCATTTGCTGACTCAGAAGACTTTATGGGTGGTATTTCAACTGTTGGTACTGTACAAATACAATATACTGGTGACAGAGACGGTCCAGATGAATTGAAAGCAAAGAAGTTTACAAAACCAATAGCACTTTTCACGGAAGA